ACATACATACTTTATGTACGCCACCTAGTTTGTTATTATAAATATTTTTTGTTGTTGTTTAACTTGCATAATGTTTCAGTTATTCTTCTTGTTTAAGTTACTAGCAGTAGAGCTCCTTGTGAAAGAGTTCGTCCAGGGAAGTACTGCCACGTTACCTATTTCTGCCGCCAAGCAGTAATGTCAGCATTACTGTGTTACGGCTTTGAAGGGTAAGGGTGCTGGTGAAATTACAGGCACATGGGACTTGTCAACTTATGTCTCAGGGTGATGGGCGAAAGCTCTGGAAGGAACTGCAATTGTTATGGACAGACATGTAGCTTCCCATCAAGAGCACGACTTGTTCGTCCCGTCTCTTGATATTATAAAAAAAAACTTCTGTTTTCTTTTACATTATTATTATTAATTTTTTTCTCCGATTACAATGTAATACAATAAACCTTGTTGTCATTCTTTTTTTGTAGTAAGGTAGTTAATTAAGACAGGGAGGAACACTGTGACTCTGATGTCACAGGTTATCCTACTTTGAGAGTCAGAGTAGTCTTGTAATGTTGTAATCACCTTATCCTAGATTTAATTGGGAACTAACGTTTGGAAATAATAATTGTTTCTTTATTGTAACTACCGAAATTAAATGTTAGTTAAAATTGCAAGTCTCCGTTTAATGTTCCAACCCCGTAGTCATGTTAAGAATCTATTAGGACCAGAGTTCCCGGTAACAGTCAACTTACCCCCGTCTTCTTGTCTTTGATCTCAACTCTGCCATCCCAATATCCCTCTACAGCGGCGATGATGTCCTTGCCTTTCTTAATGCGCCCCGATATCGCGTTCGTTTGATCAGAACTGCCAAGGAATGACTGAAAGAGAATATTACATTGTTATAAGATCACCGTTCCATATAATTAATGTTCTATAATGTTCCATTTAAGTGTGTAACTCGATAACTTTTGTTTTCAATTAATTAGTATATGGTTTTGATTATTTCTTTGTACACTTATTGGCTGGCGTTTTGACCAATGAAACCGCCGAACACCAGCCAAATCCGAATTGGATGCAGTGCAGCTTATGAAGGGGAAAAGGAGATGTAAGAGGATTTTAGAGGCAAAGTTAGTGTAGTTAATCGGTTAATCGTTGAATGAAGATAAAATTGGAACATTTCATTTTGTTAAAGAATTTCTATAACATGTAGGTAAAAGAATTAATTTGTAATATTAGGTGATTGTTAAGTGTTTCCGAATATAAAAGTTTACCAAGAAATCACGTGTTTTAAGTTATACTCCAACCCCAGCAGCATGTTGCAGCGATAAAGCTATTATTTCCACATTTAGCTGTCAAATTCTAGTGATAAAACCGCCATTTTAAAATTATATCACAATAGCTAACATAGCGAGCACCGTACCAACATATTTTTGTCGCATCGCAAGCGCCTCGAACAATGGCTCCAAAAGGATGTCGCAGTGCCAAACGTGATCGCTAGGTCACAGCTGATTTTAAAACATTTTTACAGTATTGCACAGTAGTTTTATTAACGTTAAAGCTGAGCGCGACAAACGAGATAAAAAGAAATAATAAAAACCAATATATATATATAACATATATAAATTATTGAGAGTGGTGAGGAGACCATTTTTAATACACGAGAGTAATTAGAAACACGTAAATAATAACTAATATAAAAATGTATAAATACTGAAACTACGCAATTTGATATAGTCATTTTTTTTCCTCAAAATGTATAACAATAGTTCATTACCAAATAAACAAAAGAACGAATGACTCCAGTGCCATCTTACCGATTCAGTATTAGCAACAAAAAAATAATTTCATAATGGCAACATAGCTTTATCAACTGAAATAAATATGTCACGGGGAGGTTTATCACACATTGCATGTGATATACTGCCATGCGATACAATTTTTATATCTGTAAAACTACATAACACAATACACAATACTCATCCCAAAATGGTCTATATAACTTAAATATTAATTTTCATAGTTATCGAGGTGAAGTTTAACATAACAATAAGGAAATGAAGGTGACTTGTAATTTATATCTTAATTAAAAATAACTCACCCTTAATTTGAACTCTACGTCAGCATGATAACCTGTTTCTTGGCAGATAACTTGAATCTGAAAACATAAAAGCGTGTGTTTTTTATAACTATAGTACAGAATAGGGTTTGCATTAATTTTATTTTTTATTTATTTAGACATTTATTTCAGGTCACATGACCCATAAATATATACCATAAGGACTAACATACATACAACATAATACGACAATAAACTAAACAACTAATCTACACGTATTGCACTTGTCGGCGATGTGTGGCGCAATCTAGTGTCAGGTAACCGGCCGCGGAATCGCCGAAATATGACACCCTTCATTTCCTATGTGAAAAACCTAAGAGCTCGATAAGATAGTGACTTACCTTTCCACCCAACTCCATACTCAAGGTGCCTATAACAATGCCTTTGCAGTGTGCATATGGTGCTGTTGTAAAGTATGTCTCTCCCCAGTTTAGGAGATGCACCCTGGCCCCGCCTTCGAGAATTGCTGAAGTCGAATTTCCTGTGATAAAAGTGTATTCATTATTTATTTCTAATATACTAAGCTAGACAATTTAAATGTACAAAGATTTTTTGACAATTTCATACTGTTTTAAGCAGTATATTCGTGAGAGTTTAAGGCTACTAATAATTTTTAAGTTTTATTGAACGTGACTCAAAAACAGGAGGAGGTTCTCAATTCGACTCTGTGTTATTTTATATCTTCGGGATTTGTGAACCGATATTGATGATTTTTTTTTTGTTGCAAATAGGATACCTCAGTAGTGGTCCCATTTAAATAAAAAAAAAAACTAGGGGATATATGAATTTTGATGTCGGTTTTTTTAGTAGCCTGTATTGAAATTATCGTGAAATTAGTCCACTAGTTGTCAGAATTATTAATTAATAGAAAGATCGAACATGTAGAAAAAATACTTCAATCCGGCTGGACTCGAACCAACGTCTTCTATGCCAACTAAGCTGCAGAACGAACAAGCGGACCTTATGAATTTTTCTACATGCTTGTAGTGGATCTTTGCTTTTGTTTTTAACACTTTATTTTTCAATGCTTGTGCTGCTATTTAGCGGTTAATACCTGAACGACGACGAATTCGAGATGTTTACTTAGATCTCCAAAAAAGAAGCGACGGTACAAGGTTTATTTTCGTTTAATGTAACAAAAAAAAAAACATTGCGATAAACAGAAAATTTAAAATTTATTAAAATTAAATAAAATAAGACTTAATGATGATACGAATCCAAATCCAAAGTAACGAAATAACGCATTTTTCCAAGATTTTCAAGGTTTAACGTGAGATAATTGGTACAACCATAACGTACACAGCAAAATGGCGGACTGAGCTCAAGTTTGCGGAACTCGCGTACTGTTGGCACACGTGCCATACAAACTAACCATTCCACTGTATATTTTGTTCTGTGTGGTTGCTTGTGTTTGAGTTCAGCTTATATTGGATTCTATGAAAATGCTTATCGATGAAATATAACTTGGAAACAAACTCACCATAGAATTTCGACCTAGCGAGCAAACTGCCTTCTATGATGTATCCTTCTTTCCTATTGGACACATAAAACGCGGACATTGGTGGATGGTGGGAAACCTGTAATTAAAAAAACTGTCTTATACAAGGTGTTGATTTGCATTCTCTCCATATTTACAGAGGTCATTCTATATCCGAAACTGAACCCAAATGACTAAAAATAAATCGAAAAAAAAAAATTCGTAAATTCCTATTTTTTATTTGATTGCGGTAAACAAATTTGATCCAAAGGTCATTGATTTGCACGGCATCGGCACTTGCAAACATTTTGAACAATGAGCTTAAATGCGCAGAAAGAAACGCATTTTAGATCCATTTGGTGGTGGGGGCGGGTAGCGACAGGCGGGGTAGTGTCGTTTCAAGCGCGCAATTGGTAGATCAGTCGAACTTGCTTCCCCTACTGACTGCGTCTACGTCACGCTGACATCCCGCATAGATACATTCTATTCTAGTCTGTCACGAAATGACATGTGGTTTAGTATGTAAGCAAGAGCTAGTAGTACAAGTGCGTGTCTATTCTTATGGCATGATGTAAAACGTTTAGTTTACGCGGAGGATACGAGTGTCGAAGTTTCTGCTTTCAAAGTTGAGGAGTATAATGTTGAATCGAAACCCACGTGCGAATCTCTGCATAGTTGGTGGTGGCTCCGGTACGGAACCAGCCACCAGCTGTGAAGCTAGATACTTCTAGCAATACTTTCATGTAACCTAGAATTGGTAAGTACCAAATCTAAGTAACAAAAAACTTTTTCAGTCAACTTTTCTAATTAATGTAAATAAATAAGAAATCATAACAACACTGGTATAGTCAAGAGCACGTCAAGCTTGACATTTTGCACTTTGGACCGTTCTTACCGTAAGCGGCAGTTGGATTTAAATCTTCAGTGTCAAACTTCACGCGCCCTGTACATAATTATAATTTTAAAAAATAGGTAAAGAAGCGATCGAGAAAAATTACGTATCTCTAGCTCGGTGAACCGGGTGGCGGGGTCACTGCCCTTGCGTGATGCATACGACTTCAAGACAATTTTGAAAAACTTTACTAGATACAATTAGCCAGAATATTGTGGCCATGATGAAGTCTCAACAAAAATTTTAAAACAATGCAAGAACGGATTCGCACCTGTTTTGACATATTTAATAAATCTATGCTTTGAAAGTGGCATGTTTCGTGATCTATTAAAGCTATCAATAGTGAAACCGATCTATAAGAAGGGCGATAAATCTGAGCTATCCAACTACCGCCCGATTACTCTTATCCCGATTTTACCCAAAATTTTCGAAAAATGCATGTATATTCGAAAAATGAACTACTGCACAAAATTTAACATTACTAAACCAGAACAATTCGGCTTCCAAAAGGGAAAATCGACTGCTGAGGCTGTTTTCAATATTGTAGATATAGTGATTTAAGCTCTTGACACAAAAAGCACAGCACAGTATTGTTTCTGGACATGTCTCAAGCTTTCGATTCCGTAGCACATGATAGATTGCATTGAATTGGTTTAGGTCATACCTACATGACAGACAGCAATGGGTGGAGTTAAACTACCTAGATAAAAAAAATATGTTGACACACATGCTGTTCGCATTATGACTTGAATAGATTTGGTGTTCCTCAGGGAAGTATATTAGGCCCTTTATTATTTTTGCTATATATTAATGACCTGCTGCCATTAATAACTAAGCACAAATGTATCATGTTTGCAGATGACATTGCGATAGTCATAAATTCAATTGATAACGACGTCAATCACTATGAAACTGAAATTAATGACACACTAAAATCCGTGGTAGATTGGTTGCATGTAAACAGTCTACACGTTAATTTGGAAAAAACGAAATATGTTCAATTCGCTGTAACAGGATGTACACCAATCAATATAAACATTAACTATGATGGAAAGATTTTACAAAAGCTAGAGACAGTTTCATTTTTGGGTATATTAATAGATAAAAATCTTAGTTTTACCAACCATGTTGACAGCGTCTGTAGCAAAATGAACAGATTTGTATACGTCCTTCGTAGGTTAAGACAAATTACTTCTAAAAAAATTTGTTTATTCGCTTACCACGGCTACATCGCGTCGGTTCTGCGTTATGGATTAATCATATGGGGTAATGGAACTTATGTCGAACGAGCATTTATAACTCAAAAAAGATGTATACGAGCAATGTGCGGCATCAGCCCACGGGAATCTTGCAAGCTGCTGTCCGAGAATTTAAATATTTTGACTTTACCTTCCATGTATATTTATGAAGTTTGTAAATTTGTCAAACAGCATCTAAAATTATTTAAAAAATCAATAAAAAATAATCCACGCGCAAAAAGAAACCCAGACAGACTTGTTGTTGAAAATATATCTAAAACTACACTCTACTTAAAAAGTTCATATTACACGTGCATAAAAATTTATAATAGACTACCAATTAAAATAAAAAATCTGACATTTAAAAGAATGGCAACTGAACTGTATAAGTACCTAATTAAAAATGAATATTATAATGTAAATGACTACTTAGAAGATAACATTTAATTTTGCATGCTTTTGTATAATGCCTGAATAGATGAACTCAAATGTAATAACTACCATCCTGTAATAACCTATTCAATGCAAGTAAACCTTAATTTATTTTTTTTCTTTTAATATTTTTTTTATTATTTTTGGATAATTTCGCATTATTTCTATAATTAATTTCTTAAATATGGCGAGAACGGAAATCAACACGCTGTGTTAGCCTATGGCTGTCTCACTACCGGGCACGGGTAGTTTTGTTGGAGAGAATTACGACGACCTCGTTGGTCCAATGGTTTGTGTTGTGGAGATTGGACGCGGAGGTCCTAGTTTGGATTCCAAGACCAATTTGGGAAATTGAAATTAACTTTTCCAAATACAATAAATAATGTATATGATATCAAATGTCGGGTGGCAAGCGACACGCTTATCTATGATAGTTGCAGTGCCACCAAAAGTTTTAAATCGTAAAGATTTGGCACTGCCACTGCGCCCGTCACCCTGAAACATAAGATGACAAGCCTCATGTGCCTATAATTTCGCATCACGTAATTTGTCCATCGCGTAGATCCATCAGTAGCGTGTGGAATACACATGACCTTACAGAGATTGATTAACTTTTAAGCACTACACTATGGTAGCAGTAGAACTTCTTGTGAAAAAGTTCGTCAAGTACTGCTACTACACTTATTTCTGCTTCCAAACAGTAATTATTAAGATACAAAAAGTTGTCAAGTCCTATGTGCCTCACATAGGACTTGACAACTTTTTGTATCAGGTTGACAAATGCTATGGCAGTGCCTCAAGTGCGCTTTTTACCTCCATTTCACCTGATGGAAAGTGACTATGAGGTCGACGATGGAGCATGCACACCTAGATAATGTCAATTTACTCTTGCCTTGAAAAGGCCCAAATTATACCGTTCAGGGAACAAGTAGGAAGGGAATTCCGTGCCAAAGCCTTTCGCCATATAAATGTGAATCCTTGGAATTTCTACAACATACGGGCCTACGTCTGGTTCCCCGATGTTGGAAAAGGGAAGGCGGAATTAAATTGTGCAATTCCCTTGCACACTCTCCGTGACATACCTTGTAGGTCTGTCGATGTAAACCTCTGTGGGGTACTGCAACTGTTATGAATAAGTGTATCGCTTGCCACCAGCCGCACGTCTTGTTTACATATCCTGTGCGGTATTGTGTTCTCACAACAGTTGGACCCTCAACTTTGATTGAAGATTACCTAATCTTTGTATTAAATATTCCGGAAACATCGAGAACTTCCTAAAATCATCGAGCGTATACTTCTTACCTGCTCAGCAATGTAATAAGTGTAGTTATCAGTAGACTTGTGTTTCCAACGGCAGCGGAACGATTCTCCCAGGACAGGGTTGTATGGTTTCTTAAGGCCTTTGGGCTTACGATAGAGCCCTGAGAGGTACCATCGCAACACGCATTTGAAACGAAGATAGGGGTCTTCTAGAGTTTGGGCTCTGAGAAAGAAAGAATTAATTGGAAAGTTCATCATGTCGGTAATCAGATTTAAACAAATACACCGGACAGTATATAAGTTGAAAGTGTGGACCAAGAATAGTACCTAGTGGAACACCCATCGTTATTACCGACACTGTATAGGTTTTAGCAGTTAATCTAATCTAAAAGCGACATTACCGCTCTAAAAACTGATAACACATCAACAATTAAACGATTCACATAAATCATAATTCAAAAAATATCTTGGTCAACTCTGTCAAAAGCTTTTGCAAATTCATAAAACAGATAAAACAATTGTGTTTTATTCACGACTGTTTTATCGTTAGTAAAAATCAGTGTATGTAAAAAGTGTGATACTTACTGAGTCAACATATCCGCATGGTAGTAATTATCAGATAGTTTGTCGAGAAAAGATCGGGGCTCTAGAATAAAAGTAGGCAGAACGACTTTGCTCAGGTCCATGCCTGGCCTTACTTGCTTAAGCAGGAACCATAGGAGTGACTTGTTTTCTTCCGCAACTTCTTCTACTAGTTCTCCGGCCTGTGAAATCAATACATATTCTATTGCTTTAAAAACATTTTGTTATTGGTGAAGCTTTAAAACCTAACTGCTACAACTGCTAAAACCTATACAGTTTCAGTCCGCTCCTCGATCTCCTCACTCCCGTCATAACTAAAATCCTTAATAAATCTGTCTCTACCTGTGTTTTCCCCTCTGCCTGGAAAGACGCTTATGTCATTCCATTACCAAAAAAAACCAAACCAAACTTCCCTTCAGACTACCGTCCTATTTCAATTCTTCCTTTCCTGTCGAAAGTCCTAGAAAAGCTTGTTCACTGTCAGTTGACTAATTTCGTAAACAGGAACAACCTTTTCAATCCTCTCCAGTCTGGTTTCCGCATTGGTCATAGTACGACTACTGCACTCACGAAAATCACTGATGACATCCGTTTGGGTATGGAAAATCAACAATTGACTGTGCTGACACTCCTTGACTTCAGTAATGCCTTCAATTGTGTTGACTTTGACCTATTATTGGAGGCATTGCGTATTCTTAACATATCTCCAGCAGTTATTGATTGGTTTCGAAGCTACCTCTGTGGACGTCGGCAGTGTGTACGCAATGAGAATTCTTTCTCTACGTGGTGCGATATTTCCGCCGGTGTCCCGCAGGGTGGCGTCCTTTCTCCTCTCTTATTTTCTTTGTTTATTAACTCTATCACACAATCCCTCACTTCTTCTTATCATCTTTATGCTGATGACCTCCAGATTTACACCCAGTCGTCTATTCAAGACTTACCACGTGCCATTAGTACTACCAATGTGGACCTTGAATCCATTCGTCAATGGAGTCAGTCCTTTGGCCTTAAAGTTAATCCATCCAAAACACAATCGATTATTATAGGTAGCACTTGGTTCAATTCTCGTCTAAATCTAGCCTCCTTACCCCCTGTGGTTTTCGATGGTGTCTGTATTCCTTATTTGGATACAGTCAGGAATTTGGGGGTAATTTTTGATAAATGTCTGACTTGGAAGCCGCAAGTTGCTGAGGTTAGCAGGAAGGTGTTTGGTGCGCATTTCTCTCTGAGAAGGCTTAAAAACTTTTTGCCGACTAAAACCAAAATTACTCTGGCCCAGAGCATTCTCCACCCGATACTGGACTATGCAGATGTTTGCTACCCAGATTTGTCAGTAACTCTGCTCAATAAATTGGAACGGCTCCAAAATATGTGTGTTAGGTTCATCTTCGGACTACGTAAATTTGACCATGTCTCCCAATTTCGCGCACAAATTAAATGGCTGCCCATCCATCGGCGTAGAGATCTTCATATTCTTTCACTTCTCTATTCAATTCTGTTCTATCCCTTTACGCCTTCTTATCTTAAAGATCGCTTTACTTTCCACTCTTCTACACTCTGTCGTCCCCTTCGCTCCTCTGATACTCTCTTACTTAACTTGCCCTCTCATACCTCTAACTTTTATTCCAACTCTTTTACCGTTTCTGCGATCAGATTGTGGAATTCTCTCCCTGAATCGATTCGACGATCCCCTTCTCTTGATTCCTTCAAACAACGTGTCAAGGATCACTTCCTCAACTCCTAAATTTCGTCTGTTCTCTACTATCCTTTCATTTATTTCCTACATTTGTACTTCATTTTTCTTTTTCTATTAAAAGTATATAAGCATTTAATATTATTGTGTATTTATTGTTATGTATGTATTAATAATATTATTGTTATTTGTATGTATATGTATATTAATCTATGGATATGTATATATTTTTATTATTACTTATTATGTAGAGTACTTATGATGATATTCTTTGGTTGCACCCCTTTTGCATATCCGAAATGTCTATCCTAAGGTTGCCTGGAAGAAATTGCTACATAGCAATAAGGCCGCCTGTTGCACATTGACTTACTACTACTATTATACTTAAGCTTTTGTATTGTATTTTAATTGTAATTTTATGTGCAATAAAGAATATTTCATTCATTCATTCATTCATTCATTCTTTATTATTGTTGTATCCAGCACGGGAGATGTCACAATTAACGACGGATATTGATAGGACATTGACGTCGCTTTATTTACAGATAAGCATATCGATTAAGTGAAGGTACTAAAGGCTACTATCGATGCCAGAACATCATCAACATCTTACAGCCAAATCTTTCTGGCTAAATCCGTCGCCGACTGATCGTGTGTTTTTCTATCATTCTGAATTTGACGCTTAAATTATTTCAGTTATTTTGTAACAAGCATATACGTATTTACTTACGGCGCCGGTCTCTCTGTCAGGGTCCTCAATGTACAAACTCTCGAGCCTTTCAATAATCGCTGCCTTACGTCCTTTAGGCCGCTCCGTCTCTTTGGTCACTCTATCTTCATCGGCGGCATGGTCGGCCATGCCTCCTTGTGAAACTTCGCTGTCAGTATCTGATGCTGCACCTGCTAACTCTAGAGGGAGGAGAGGGGGATAAGGTATGTGATTGATAGCTTTGGTTACATCTAGCATAATACTTTTAGCATACTTGTACTTTATCAAAAAGTATATTATTTAATGTTCGAATCAACTAATCTCAAGTTGATTATATCCAGTTTGATCTTGTGACATAGTTAAGACAATTAACAAGCTAAAGACAGCCTAGTGGCATTGACATTCTTGCGACTCAGTATAGTCGTTTAAACTATTAATGTCACGAGACGGTCTTTCACTTTCCCTGGATAGCCAGTTGCTGTGCTAAATTCTAGCATAAAAAAGAATCAATTTTAGCCATTATAATTATTTAATAACAAAAAGATATTTAAACGCTACAAGTAACAAGATTTTTTAGTGCTGAGCAAAGTTGATTCTTATTAATTGGGGGTCAACGTGCACTTTTGCAGTTTGTACTTCTCATTAGCTTAAACACACGATTCAAAACTGTCTATTAACTTTAGCTACTAATTCTGCAGTTCGAAATTTGAGCTTCAAGTTTTTCCAAATCAAATTTATGAAATATCCCCTTCGGAGAATCTAAATTACTGTCTTTTAAACTAGTTGATTGCGTTATTCCGATACCTATTCACACTAACTGTCAGGATTTTCGCTGTGCAGTCGATCCAATTCTTATACGCATACGCATTTTGATGAACAATAAAATAGACACCAATTTGCACGAGAAATATAAAATAAAGACACAGGCACAGGACGTCATAAAATATTGGTAATAGAGCCACATAGAGCGGTTAAAATTATTATTTTCATGTGATCTTGTTTAGCACGTAAGAACATCAGTTATATTGCATGTATTATAGTTACAGGTTTAGCGTTGGTAAACGCTAAGTGGTCATAAGCCCTTCCCACATCGTTTGCAAATCTTGTGATTAATCACATAGTAAGTGGTTTAGAGTTCAAGTTATTTACGATTCCACCTGGAAGATCATTTTACTTTCTGTCCTCCTGGACATTTATTTATTTATTTTATTTAGATACACCATAGGCACATACATAGAGAAACTTCACTGTTATAACATATAATTTCTTATACGGTATGTTGTACCATTACGGGCATGTACAGCATTTACGAAAAAAAGCCTTAATTTAAAAAGAAAATAGGAACAAAATACTGTATAGAAACAAAAAAGAACAAATACTACTATCTAAAAAATTATTAAACAATATAAAACAAAACCCCTGAGACGTGGCGTCTTAGGAGTTTAAAGCAGTTGTGACGTTCCGTTTGAACTTATATAATGAGTCGTGGAAGATGTCAATCTCGTCTATATTAACGTCATTCAAAAATCTCATGCTACGGTAAAGTGGAGAAAAATGCATTAGTACTAGATACAGGAACCGAAAATATATTTCGCACTGGGTAACGTGGAAGCCTTCTGGGTATCGCCATGTTAACTTGAGGCATTATTCGGGGCGAGTCAAGCTGGCTATGTAAAACCTTATACAGGAAAGTTATGACGAAAACTTGTCTCCCGAGTCTTTAACGCCTCTAACTTGAAATGTAACAGACGCTCGCCGAAGTCTGCTCTATACGGGCATTGTCTATTTTTATATGCTAGAAAGCGAGTAAACGCGCGTTGTACGCGTTCTATCCTATCTGGATGGATTTGATAGTGTGGATTCTATATTCGTGTCGCATATTCAGAGTGCTCCGAATTAACAAGTTGTACAATGTTAAAATTGTGTGTACGTTTCTAAAAATTTTACCAAGTACGCTTCACAAACCCTAACATATTTTTCTAACCAAGTACGGAGAAAGACAGCCTTATGATATTGATATTTTTTGAATTTCAGATTTTGTATTTCCTTTGAATCATTGTTTCTACTAAACCTGTCAAACTTTTGATAATGTGAAGATCTGAGGGCACTGTGACTGCACCCCTCGCCCTGAGATATAAAGTTAACACGTCTCATGTGATTATAGTTTCACCAGCACTCTTGCCCTTCAAAGTGAGAACGCAGTAATGCTCTCGTTACTGCGTGGCAGTAGAAATAGGTATGGTAGTATTGCTTCCTTATACGAACTCTTTCTCAAGGAATTCCACTGCTACCAAAACTACTGCTTTTATATCATAAGTTTGATAGATATAGACGGAATATTGTGACGGTGTGACCTCCTTACACCGTCATCTCACCGTTTTGTATCGCCTCTCTCCACTTGTATCCTACAATTTTTTTATTTTATATGTATTTAAATTTTAAATTTGAATTGTTTCATCTTCCTTCATTTTGTTTCACGGTTCCAATTCCACGGTTACTCCCTGCTCGACCGCCCCAACAGTCGGAGCTGTTTCAAATTCCATCGCGTATAATCGGTAATTTTGGTTCTTTACTACGTTTATAATCATTAAATAAGCTAAATCATGTGTAATAATTTATAACAGGCTACAGCCTTCATGTACCTATATCTGTAATTCAGTTACTCGGCCTATTTAGGGCCCTTTCTTTTAACTTTACTTCTTTAATAAATTTTGTGGACCGGAAGTTTCCCGTTTCATTACCGTGAACCTGTTCACGGCTAGTTAGGGTTACAACCCTTTCAATATCAATGTCACCAGGCTGCCTGTCGCCTTACTCGTTTAGCCAACAGTCTATAACTCATTAATTTTCAATATAATTATCATTACTTAACCTAATAGTTATCATAATTAGGTAAGTGCATAGTGTTTGACATACTAACCTCCATTAACCCTAACAGTATCAATTTGATTAAAAACATCACAGACATCTCGCTTCTTGTTGTAATCCGTCAAAAGTGCAGAGTCAACAGAAAACTTTCTCTTCAAGTGCAAACTGCCAAACTGCGTGGGTTCCGAAAATTGTCTGGATAATTTCTTCATTTTTAACAATGAGAATATACTGGATCGACGTCGCTCTGTTTTAGGTTTTTCTTTGTGGTCTTTGTTGTTGTCCATTTTTGCTGCTAGCATTATATCTAATTTATGCTCCATTATGTTTTCTTTTTTCATGTCTTTATTATTAATTCTTCTTTCCTTTCAGTATATTTCTTCTGCTTTCTTAATCCTAGTTTGACTTTATTAACTAATTTTATTTTAAAAGTTTTTATCTATGTTGCAACATTTAAATGATTTTTATCATTTCACTTCCGCAGCTTCCATTTTTTATTTTCTTTTATTTAGTTCTTGAGATCATCATCTCATCGTTTACTATACGCCTTAACATAGTTACTTGTGTAAGATTTATGTTAGTCAATTGACTGTTACTATATTTGCAATAAATATTATTGTCATTTTCAATAAATGATGGCAATGGTGTCGATTCCATGATCCACAATTTTTTACCTACAGATATATTAATTTATTTGCTATATAAGTAATGTCGTTAGTAATCTATGTAAGGTGCTTAGTAACCATATTAAGTGAAATTTGATTTTAAGTTTTCTAACGTAGTAGCGTTAGTTTTGTTACTATATCGTCTGTCTCCTCACTATTAGTAAGTTATTATACAACAACATTTTCACTTATAAGATCTTTTTACATAGTTTTCAAACTACCTAACAATGTAAAGAGCCCTGTACATAATCAAGAGCATTGTAAAAGAAGGATGGCGACATCCCGTGTGTTTTGTGACTCAGTGTGTTTGACAAAGATACCTATTGATACTTGTGACTCATTATCAAAGCATCCAAAAAGCTAATTGAGTACAGCCTGTGGAAGCTGGGGTAATAAAGTTGATATAGGTTATATTTATTACATTGTCCTGTAATTCGCTTCAGATGTTTGTTCGTAGTAGCAGAAAACAAAAAGTTTTCATTTTTTTCCCAAAAAACTTGCTGAATTTCCCAAATCCGCCAAACTCTGCCACATTTAATACAACGTTAACATGTCTGTCGTAATGAAAATGAATAAAAATTAAAACTGCCCAAATGGCAGAAATCTACCACGAATGGTCACACTGTTCTCAATCTCAAAGTGACATTGACATTGGCGAGAGGCCTCTTGTCAAAACGTATAAACGTTTAATCCTGACTTCTAAAAATATACAAAAATATATTAATAACAAGGCGTAAACTAAAACGTAAAATTATACTAACAAAGCCCATGAACGGCACTTTGTTGATTTTGGGTCAGCTTTTACCATACTTCTTAGATATTTCAATTATCAGACAGTAATCAATGTATTTTAGTAGTTTTTAACGCAATTGCAGCGTTTAAATCAATGTACCTATGCCTTCGAAACTGTAAAAAATAGACCAAAGTAATTGCCGCATTACTTATTTTGAGTCGCAAATACTGTTCACAGGCCAAAATGGTCACACTGTTTTCAACCTCAATGTGACATTGACATTGGCAAGAGGCCTCTTGTCAAAACGTTTCTTTGCTAACTTTCTTATCTCTCATATAAATTTTGTCTGAACATTTTTGTCACATTGTGTTTTATTTTTTACTTTATGTCATTACTGTTTAAATGATTATTTGATTAGGTATTATAAAGCTTTAGTGTTTAGTAGTTGTTCTCGCATTTATTCTAAAATACATTGTTTTACAAGTATTTTTTATTCCCGACTTCTAAAAATATACAGAAATATATTGATAACTAGGCATAAACTACATCGTAAAAATTATTCTAGCAAAGCCTTTGAACGGTTCTTCGTATATTTTATAATAATTGAGTCAGATTTCGCCATACTTCTTTTGACAAATACTGTCAAAATTTTAGGTCGTCTGTGGTCGTGTTAGGCGCGTTTGTCAAATAAATTTACGTGTTTGATAGAAATTTATATTGAGTGTCTTTAAAAACAAAATTTAACACATGCTGGCATAAACAAAATATCAAGTTTCGACTAAAATAATAATCGTAATGATAGTAAATCTTCAAAAGTTTTGTCGTCCATGCGTAGAATACTCTTCCGATTTTGTGCGCAATATTTCTTTTAACAATTTTTTTGTAATTTCTAGTTTCAATCATTCTCTAAACCAATGTCTACTCGTTTTTTTTTTCTTATGACTATATGGTTAATGCCAGAAACGTTTTATCTGAGATATGGCTGAGACTGAACTACAGGCAAATTTGTCAAAATTTTGATTAAGCTCCGTTGCATACCCAGTCTGCAGAATACGTGAACTTACCGATGTCAGTATTGCTAGACTAGTTTACTTTAGTTACTTTCATAGTATAATGTCCTACGGGATTCTCATGTGGGGTAAAGCGGCAGACATTCAAACCATATTTGTATTTCAAAAACGAGCGATTCGTTCTGTGTACCGTTAAGGCTCTCAGGTTTCTCTCAGGGAAAAGTTTAAGGAGACTGGTATCATGACTGTGGCATCAAAGTACATTTACTCAAATAGTTTACAAGCCCGTGAATATATACATAATTTCAGTAGGAAAGAAGTTATCCATGACATTAACCTTAGAGCTAATTTCAAACTCATGGTACCACGATTTCGTTTAACTGAGGTAAACGATTCTTTTACGGGGAACTGTATACGTTTTTACGATAAGATTCCGGAGCATATGTCAAGATCATTATTTCCTAAGTTAAGTCCTTAGCAGTGAGAATCCACAAGATTGCGAGGTGGATATTATCTCCTTTCCGTTCAAAACAAAAAAAAAAATACGTCGTATTTTGTAATAATAAGTATGGAATTATAACAAAATTTCATATTCGCCATTTTCGCCCACGATTTTGGGCAAATTGTGGGCAGGTTGATTGAGTTTGAACCTACTGCCCATCTCTAAATGCAAGCGCTTCACAAATGAGGCCTGCATGGGAGATAAGCATTTGCCCGGCTAGATTATCATTATCACTGTTATTTGTCAATGTCAATGCCTGTAAATATCTGTCAAAGAATAATAGTTTGCCATGAAGGCCGAAAATTACCGCGTACGCATGGCCGCAGCCTCGGTTACGTATTTTTACATAGCATGTGTTTACTTATTTTTACATAGCATGTTTTTACTAACCGTTATATTGATAATAATATTAGAAGACGTCGGTTCGAATCCTGCCGGATCGAAATAATTTTTTCTGAGTGTTCGATCTTTGTATTAATAATTATAACAAACTAGTGGAGTAATTTCACAAAAAAATAATTGAATATCAATTCAATAAAAATTTAAATATTATACGCTCTTGTCTTAAATTACAATTAACAAAGCAATGTAAATATCTGGGTATGCCAATCGGTTGCCATCAAAGCTTTCAACCGTATACCGACTTACTTGCTGCAAGAATAAGGAACCTTATTTATATATTCAAACCCTTACGTAACATTGCCAATTCTGATGACCTGAAATTAGTCTATTTCTTCTGTTTCCATCACTTATTATTTACTGCATTACATTTTGGGGTGGTGCTTGTAAGTCTTTTTAATTTTACTTGAAGGAGTCCAGAGGGCGACCCTGAAGGTAAGTTCACGACTACCTTTTAGGTTTTTTTATAATATCAAGCGACGGGACGAACAAGTCGTGCGCCTGATGCTAAGCTACACGCCTGTCCATAACAGTTGCAGTGCCACTCAGAGCTTTAAATCGCAAAGATCAGAGGCGCACTACCACTGCGCCCGTCACTCTGAGACATAAGTTGACAATTCCCATGTGCCTTCATTTCACCAGCACCCTTCAAAACCAGAACACAGTAATGCCGATATTATTGCTTGGTGGCAGAAATAGATAAGGTGGCAGTATTTCCCTGGACGAATTATTTTACTACTCTACTGCTTTAAATCCGGTTTTGAAGGGTAATTGTGCTGGTGAAATGACAGGCACATGGGACTTGTCAACTTATGTCTCAGACATTTGCGATTTAAAGCTATGCAACTATTATGGACAGGCGCGTCGCTTATCAGCAGGTGCTCGACTTATTCGTCGTGTTATCTGGTATCAAAATTAATACTTAAATTAAAAGTTAAACCTCTTCAAACATAACTAAGGCACGCTGTATCATGCACGTCAACTTGTCTAAACAATCCATTATCTGCGACAACATTTCATACAAGGTCACACCTATGACATCATACAAAAAACGCTAACTTGTGCTACATGACTGTCCTACTTTAACCATATATGTATATATAAAAACATTGTCCCTTTCTTTCCAGTGTATATTAGAGATGTGCATTTTTGTCAAAAAACACATACACTTATATCATATACAAAATAATTGAATATCAATTCAAAACTAATTTAATTACAGTTAATAGAGACATCTCTAGCCAGGGCTGGTAGCTGTAAAGGTGACTGGATGACGAAATACTTTCATGGATTTCTCAAAGATGGCGCTACACCTAAAAAGGAGTGAGTGGCTTAGTTGGCATAGCAGTTGGCACGGTTTGCTAGAAGACGTCGGTTCGAATCCGGCCGGATCTAATGAATTGTTCTAAGTGATCGATATTTGTATTAATAACTATAACAAAGTAATTTCACAAAAAAATAATTGAATATCAATTCAATGCAAATTTGATAACAATATATACATTTGTTTACTACCAAAACTACGCACTCAGGTAGGATGCTGCTGAGACAATATGTGTAAATGGGGTTTTAAGGATGCCAGTCTAATGCAATGTTTTTTTTATTAAAAATATAAGTGCGCATTTGACTTCCATCTTACGTTATGGAAAGTTACGATGAGGTCGACGATGTAGCACGCACACCTAAATAATGCCTATTCACTCTCGCCTTGAAAAGGTCCAAGTTATAACGTTCAGGGAACAAGTTTGCTGGCAGGGAATTCCACCCTACAGCCGTTCGCCATATAAATGTGGAAGCGTAACGCTTCGTGCGAATTCTTAGAATTTCCATAACATAGGGGTGGAACCTCAGCCTGCGACTGGTCCCCCGATGATGGAAAGGGGAAGGCGGAATTCTGCAATTCCCTCACACACTCTCCGTGATA